CATTAATGCTGGCCAAAACAGAGTACCTACCTATGATATCAGTCAAAATATTATTATTACTTGATTTCTGCATGTTCAGCATATATGGAGGATGTAAAATAAATACGAGTAACAGCTACCCCTACCCCTAATGTGATTGATGTCAACCAACAGAGGTGGTAGGTAACATTACAACACAAAACCGATCAAGTTCCACATAGGATGGAGTTGTGGACCAGGCCACCAAACCATGCATTTGAACTTGAGTTTCTCTCCCTGTGCTAATTTTCGACTTTCAACCTGAAAAATAAATTTTGATTTTAACTTGCTCTTTCTCTAGCAATACAGAAGTTATTCACTTGTGAAGAAGACATCAAAGCAAAACTAGAGCTATGTCTGTTTGATGAACATATCATATGGCTTTTCCGCATTTCACGTTTTTCAAGTTTTTGCTTCGTCTGTCATGTAAGAACAAAGTTCTTTGATTCACATGTTTTTTTTGTAATACCCGAGGTTGAGCTCTAAATTTCTGAAATCCATAACATGACCAGGGCTTGAAATAAAACTAGTCATCTCCATACGTTCTGTGTGAAATTATCGTACGATTGAGCTATGAGTGAAGTTTCAATATATAACATGAGAACATGTAATTGCGATATTTTGTAAATTACATGCATATAATGGTATCGACAAAGAAATTATGTTTTTCTTTGTAAATTCCAGCTGTTTATTATTTTTTATTACACATTATTGTTCAAAGTATCTACAGTACGGCAGACCATGTACAGGGCTTTGGTGGCCATCTTATTTGAGAGGTTACAGTCGAACCCTGATAATAAGAGCACTTTTAATACAACATCCTGCTTACAACAAGGACAATTTTAGGTCCAAAGTCTTTGTTTTTCATTACTGATAATACAAGGTACCTGTTATAACAAGATAATTTGTAAAGTCCTAAGGACCTCGTTAAAATGGAGTTCGACTGTACTTCAAAACTCTGTCAGACCTACTTTGACATTTAAAACAAAAATCAAGATCAAATCTCTAAGGGCTGATTTTTGAGGAATTTTCAAAGGAAAAGAGGTCTTTTCATTCTAACTTCCGATCTGATGACGTCATCAATTTTGTTTTTTGCGCACAGGTTTTCTCTGCATAAAGGTTATCATATATATTTATGTGGAAGTGATTACCGCAAACGTTGCCACAATAATCAACTGAAATTTCATTTTAAACATTTTTCAAACTCCGCTAGAGGGCGCTCTAACATTTTAAGACGTCACCGGTATTTGTTTTTCTAAAATACAACCTGGCCAGAGATTAACATGGTTGAAAGCCACTTCACATCTTTTTCCACTTTTAAATTATAAGGCACTTCCAGTTTGGACCTCAGTGAAGGAAGGATCACTTGATTTTGGAAGTAATTTCAAAAATGAAGACCCTGGATTATTCTATAAATTCCCGTAAAAAAACATTATCCAATCTTTCAGAGTTGATATTATATTCATTTTCAAGGATTAGATCTAGAAATGTTTGGTTGCTTGTAATCTGATACTTGATGATGTCATCGTGACAGCATTACCAGAAAGCTCGAGAGCTATGTTAACTGTGTTGTGCTATTTGAATAAAAAAAATGTGGATTATATCTCTCGCGGTTGATTTTTCAGCAATTTTTTTTTAATGTTTAAAGGTCTTTTCATTGCAACTTCTGGTCTGGTGACGTCATCAAGTTTTCTCCCCCTCAACTTGTTCTTAGCATGAAGCTGATTATATATATAACTCATATTCTGAATTTATTGCATGTTTATAGCTCTACAGAGATGTATCGAGCACTGTGAATTGTGATAGAAGACGATTTCATTGGGCTGACGTCCACAACCTTCAAGGCGAGACTGGCGAACCACAAGCAGTCATTCAGATCCGAGAGCAAGAGGGCGCAAACAGAGCTAAGTAAACATATATGGGACTTAAAGGACGAGGGGAAAGACTATGAAATCAAATGGGACATAGTTCTGAAAGCACTGCCATACTCTAACGTAAACAAGAGATGCAATTTGTGTATAGCAGAGAAGTACATAATCATATGTAGGCCAGATCTAGGTACACTGAATAAGAGAAGCGAAATCGTCTCCAAGTGCAGGCATCGAGACAGATGTGTTCTTACTTCAGTGACGTAAACGCGTACTAACTTCAATGACGTTACGCGCGTAATGCGTGCGCGCGCTTGATTCGAAATAAGGTAAGATGCTACTTGTATTCTATTTTTCGTCATTCTGCTGATGAGTGCCTTATGGTACGAAACAGTCTGTTCAGAAGAGAGATATGCCAAAGTTTGTTTAACTCGTATTCTGAATTTATTGCATTATAGCTCTACAGAGATGTATCGAGCACTGTGAATTGTGATAGAAGACGATTTTATTGGATATATATATATATATATATATATATATATATATATATCCAATGAAATCGTCTTCTATCACAATTCACAGTGCTCGATACATCTCTGTAGAGCTATAAACATGCAATAAATTCAGAATATTCTCTTTCTGAACAGACTGTTTCGTACCATAAGGCACTCATCAGCAGATGAGTGCCTTATGGTACGAAACAGTCTGTTCAGAAAGAGAATATTCTGAATTTATTGCATGTATATATATATATATATATATATATATATATATATATATATATATAAATTAAAAAGTGATTTCAGCAAAATTTCGCCACACGCATCAACTGATTATTCATTTTAAACATTTTCAACATGCCGCTAAAGGGTGCTCTAATATTTTATGACGTCACTGCACTGGTAATTTTTTTCTGATGTACAACCTAGTCACAGACTAACATCGCTGAAAGCAAGTTTTTCTAGTTTCAAATTATAAGGCACTTCTGGTTTTGACCAGAAGGAAGGGCCACGTGATTAGGCACGCACGCTATAAAATGAACCTGGATTATTCCATCAATTCCCACAAAAGTCAAGTTCAGGTCTCTCACGGTTGATTTTATATTGAATTTCACAGATTAAATTTAGAAATCTTGGAATGCTTGTAATTTGATGTCATCATGACGTTACCTCAATTTTCATCTGTAACACATCCCTGACCATGTACATACAGAGTTTCAACCCAATCGGCCTTGTAGTTCTTTAGGTATAGGCTGTTGAAAAATGAACATTTAAGATGATGTCACGTCACGTGATGACGTCATGATGACGCCACTCGTCTATGCACGACTTTACTATGGGGTCTTAGTCTGTGCCAAGTTCCATCAAGATTGAAGGTTGTTTACTGTGGAAAGTGACCCCGAAAATTACGAAGTCTGTGTGATTTGTACAAAGTCTATCGGATTTGGGATGGAAGAACAAGAGGAAAAAAAACCCAATTAGAACAAAAACAAAGGCTTTTCAACTTTTAAATGGAAAAGCCACAAAAAACCTAAAACATGCACAAACATGTTTAGTTATAAAAATGTTTACTGTAAAAACGTTTGATTTCAGCCCAACAATAATTGAGGCATTTCTCTGTGTGCATTATGGACGTACAAGACAGTGGCGGCGGAACAATTTTGAAAAGGGGGGGGGGGCAAAAAAGCACTGCTGGTGCGGCCAGCCGTTGCTAAAACCCATTCGTTACTAGGGGGAGGGCCTTTTCTATGTTTTTCTTTTCGTTTTTGGTGTTAAGCCCTGCCCCTCCCCATGGCAACTGCTGTGTATGTAGGCATTCCAGATGATCGAGCTGAGCGATCAGTCTATCCTGTCATTTCCAGAGATAGTAAACTATATAGAAACTTTTTTTTTAATGCTTACCCAGATATAGGGTGAAGAGTACAATAATTTGCAAACTGCCATGCCCCACCAGTGTAAAAAGTGCCCCCCCCCCCCACCGTTCCGCTGCCAGTGACGTAAGATCAACCCAAAATTAAATAGTAGTTCCACAGGGTTGAACATATCTGAGTAGCCTGCCATAGTTAGAATATTTTTCCAGAAGTTCAAAGCACTCTCCGCCCATCAAGTGTTTGAGCCACATTTACTGATGCAGACATAAGAGAGCATGCACATTGAGTTTGGCACAGCTATGGCATGGCAATTCAGTGGTCTAGCAATGTCATTTTTATTGGGGGGGGGGGGTGGGTTAGACGTGAAAAAGGGCACTCGCCTATCCCTGCTGAAAGGCAGACGTTTTTTTTTTATGGATCACTTGGCCTCTGTAAAATCAAGAGGGCCCTGTCCAAACCAGACGATCCAAAAAGGGCAACCGTTAAAGGCCGCTGGTAAGAAAAGGATACTTGTGTTAAAACAAGTGCGAGTGCACAATAAGCTCTGGCCGAGTTGCAAGAAGTCTTGCATGAAAGTCGTTTGCATGTAATTGATCGAAATGATCCCTGCCAGAGCTTAAAAATGCGACGCCGCAAAACTGCTATGCTGATGGCACATATGGAACACAATACTTTTGGTAAATTTTCGGGACAGACAGACCATCAGACCGACCACCAAGTGACATGTAGAAGCTCCTGCCAGAGCTTTAACAAGATGGTTCTCAAACCATGCGTCTCGCCTGCTTTTTCGATTATCTTTCAAGCGTGACTAAAAAAATCAGTATGAAGGTTTCCATGTTGCAGCTATGACCCAAGTTTGGTTCCAGCCCATTTTACAACTTGACCTCATTAGCATATGGAGGTTCCCATGTTGCATCTATGCTTCAAGTTTGGTTCCAACTGGACTTCAACTGTGGAAATTAGGCCAATGTTACAAAACTTTAACCAAAATACCACAGAATGTCAATGGTCCCAACTACACTGATTTTTTTATGCTTAAGTTTATTTCAAAAGGTTTAACTTTACTTAATTGTAACTTGTAGTTGACGGAAGTTCCAATGTAAGGAATTCACTTGAACAATGGGCATTGTGTTTGAATTAGGCTATGTAAGAATGCCTCACCGCAAACCTACCAGTGTAATGGAATGTGAGTGCATGTAGCTCTCTGGTGTTTCTTTATTTGTGTTAAGCCAGATCTATCCGAATTGTGTTAATAGTGTAGTATATAAGGTTTAGAATGCCAAATCTCGGCAGAGTGCCACATTGACACAGTGGGGAGTGGTGGTCTGCAATCGTCACTGAAGGTACGGCGGAGACGACCGGACGCTGCTATGAAGGAAGGCCAAGTTCTACCCCAAGCAAGGTACCTGAACAAGTAAACACCGGTGAAAAAAAGGCACTTGTGTACAAAAGGGTGCCCTTTGCAAAATATTGGAAAGGGGGGGGGGGGGGCTGCTGGTTATGCCACTGCAAATAGCAGTGCTGTACCACTGATTGACGATAGCACATTGAGTCAAAGGATCGTGTCATGCTATACTCAATGTGCCGAGCCAAACTGTTGGAAAACGGTGGTATCGTTGAGCAGGATTGAAAAAGTCAAATTAATTGAGTTTGGTATTGCAGTACCATGGCATATGGAACAGGCTTCAGTAGAATAAATGTGCAGCTCTTTTTTATTGTTACTGATTCAAGATGTGCTACAGAACAGAATAATGTTGTAACCTCAAGCAAACAGAAAAGAGGAAATAAAAACCCAAAACTACAGAAACACAACCCACCCCCCCCCCCCAAAAAAATCTTAAACAATACATTTCCCCAAAACAATTTTTGATTAAGTTTTCATGAAATTTGCATCCTTGGAATGTTCCACTTCAACTGACAACACAAACTCTGCTCTGACCGATGGATGAATTTTTTTGCTGAGTTCCGGTTGCAGTTCGTTTTTCTCTTGCATCTTGCCGCAACTGATCAGACTGCAATTTGACAAGCTGTTCTTGAAGGTTCAATACAAGATGATTGTTTTCTGCCATTTTTTGAGTTTGCACATTAAGTTCCTCCCTTAGATTTCTTATCTCTTGCTTCATTAAGTGCTCTCTTTCCTAAAATAGAAAAAATAACAACAAAACAAAAATACAGCATGTTACAATTTAAATAAGCTTAAATGTAATCTACTTAATTCAGTAGTGTAAATATACACTTATCCAGAAAAAAACACAACAGAGTTCAGTCAGTCGCTAAATTTAAATCAGCGCTTAAAACTTTTTAAGCAAGCTTTTTTAACTTAACTTAATTGTCCACGTTTCTTGTTCTTGCATATTGTATTTTTGAACTGTATTTTTTTAATACATGTGTATTATTTTGCTTATTGCTATCTTATGTTGTTTGTGGTATATACTGTTTTAGCAAACTGTTTGCGTGGAATGGTTTTACATTGTTTAAAGCCCGGTTCATGCTTCGCGTGGGTGCTGGGGCGGGGCGGGGTTTGTGACATTAACTGTGCATTCACAGCACATTGTTGGCGACATGGATTTCGTTTCGCACTTGCTTCCGCGTGGGGTATGAACCAGGCTTAAATCTTTTTAAGTATACACTTCATTGTATTTTTATGTGTCTTAACTTTTTATAGAAAGCGCTTAGGAGCATGATTTTCTTCATGGACGGGCGCTATATAAATTTTAGCTTATTATTATTATTATCCAGAAAACCGATCAAGGTGCCTACACAAAACAAACAGAAACAAACAAGAGTAATTTTGTTTCAGTCTGAAGTGAATAAGTGAAGTAAATGTGATTTCAGTTTTCTTTTGAAGATGTCAATTAAGGGATGTTGTTTGAAAGAGATTGAAGGTAGCTTATTCCAAATGACGGATGCTATTTCTTCCAGGATTGTGGTGGAGATGAGTGCCTAAGACTTTTATTGCAAAGTAATACTTGTTCGCCAAGAACCCACTGATCGCAGACAGCCTGGGATCAGGACTGTATGAGGCATTGAAGGTGCAGAAAGGATGTTGTGCGCAACCAGCATCTGAGAGTTCCAATCTACTGTCTTCAAGGTGTCTGTAAACATATTTCTGGTTTGGTCCGTAAAGAGTCATTTGGTTGAGCTGGTCCCTATCCCTTCAGCAACAAGTTTATCCTTAATAAGGATGGGACTTTGCGTTTAGTTTAAACGTATATCAAAACTACTAAGCAAAATTTGAACTTTTTAATAGCTAAATTCCAAAAGGCAAACGCCTTCCCCAAGTCGGAGTATAATTTAACTTTAAAGGTCATTTTGAATAAGCATCAAGCATCTTGCAACCGCGATGTTATGTGAAGACCCATTCTGCTCGTAATTAACACGTTACAGTGCCTTCGATGAGCGTTACAATTATCCTGAATGACCTTTGATCAATATCACTGCATGCACACTTGAAACACCTAACTGGATTAAAGGATTGTTGAGGAGACATGGATTCCTAACTGTGTCTGACAGGCCAAGAATGTGAATCATGTCACGCTGGACTAGACACAAAGTGCCTCTGCTAAGCTTTGTGCCATGGTCCCTGATTTCAAGCAGCAACATGTCACCATTTTGTCTGAAGGTTGATTGTCCTGAATCACTGTGACCAGGAGAACAGGAGGGCTCTGTCCCAAAGCAGAATATAGACTTTGTTTATTCCCAAGCTCAAGGCTTATTGAAGGTGCCTGTTTTACACAGTGCGTCAGACCAATGCACGCCTGTGTGCCTGGAAAGTATGTGCATATGTTTCAAATGTTATTTGATATAGGCGGCTGCTTTATAGATATATAAAAATTCTGATATGGATAGAGCCTTGTGGGTAAACTATCATGTAGACTCTTAGCAAATGTACTATGCACTATCGTATGTATTATCATACCAGCACAAGTTACATGTAGGAGACGTTGGCATTAAAGGTAGAGTACATAACATGAACAAAATTATTGTTCAAAAGCTTACTTGGTTTAAAGATAGTAATGGCACTTTACCCTCTGTGAAATTATTCTTTCTGGCATGCTGTCATTTTGAAGAAAACAATAAAAGAAGGGCATTTCCAATGATGCGTCTTTTTGGAACTTTCCATAAGTAGTTTGTTTTTTAATTTCAGCAACTTATGCGCGCAAGCGCTGACATGATGCGCAGTTGCAACAATTTGTCGATTCAGTGCGTGACATCGCGTAGCTGGAAACTGATTTCGGGCGCAACTCAAAACATGACTTGGCAACTTTTGAATTGAATCGAGATCCTAGAATATAGGTTTTGACGGAATGTTCAGCATTCACTGAGCTAAAACTTCAACAGGTTAGTTGTTAAGCACCCTTTAGATTTTTAGCACTTTTGTTGCTTCAAACAATAAAACTACACAAATGACAAATGATGTACTCTACCTTTAAATCTCCTTATACAAACCTGCTACAAACTGATTGTCTGATTTGATTGTAGGCATTTTTAAGTCAACATGAGGACAACGTTCAAGGACAAGTGACCAAAAAAACAACAAAAAAGCAAACTAGAGGTCTATGTCTGCTTGAAACAGAACATAGGGCTTTTCCGCATTATGATTTTTCTATGACAGAATGCTTGAGTTTACATGTATATAAATTACATGTAAATTATGTACGGGACTACTCGTGGCAGTCCTGAGGCTAAGTCCTTGGGTAATAACCGGCCGTCCTTCACTCGTTAAGGACTAGACTCGATGAAAAAAACACGCACAACAACTAGTCTGAATAAAACGCCGATATATGGTGCGTAAAGCCTGCAGCTTTACTTAGCTACGTTGAATTGGATAGACTAAAAAACATGTCTATCTCGCCTGCGTCGCTAAGAGAAAAGAGGCAGATTCAATATGGCAGTGACGCCGCATGGCATCATGGGTGGGCGCCAAGAGGTGCATTATTGTGCGATTAAACGCTTAGCGAATTGGCCTGTCGGCAAAGGGAAATATGCAAATGTAGTTGCTTTTTGGGTAAGATGAACGAAGTAGACTGTAGAATTTGTCTCTGGTCTCTATTAATTCAAATTCCTCATGACCGTTCCTTTCAAAGATCCTGAGTTTAGTTAAAATTTTGTTAGTAAATCCCCATAGAGTCTGTTTAGTGCAAGTTCCCCATAGTATGTCATTTTTCCTGGTTACATTTTTAAAAATACTTTTTGGTTGAGAATCCGAGTCAGGAATATGTTTTTTTTTTTTAGAACTTAGCCAGGAACTGTTTTAATAGGAACTGGGCATTTTTTGAAAGTTTTTTTTGTTTGGTCATTGTGTGGTCATTGTGTGGGTTCGACCCGGTACCCGCCAGCTTTGACCGAGTACACCAAGAGCCGGTAGTTGAACCACCGTTGAGTGTACTAGCACTGCTGCAGCACCAAACTCAGATGCAGCATGTGATCCTTCAGCAGTTTCAACAGATAACCATGTTGAAAGAGCTCGTCTCCAGTGCCATTAACAAACAGCACAGGCAAAGAGTCCACATCCAGAGTCTACAGCGTGCCCTTTATGAGTCCAGATATCAGCCAGCTACAGATAAGCCCAAGCCCAAGAGCCCTGAAGCCATCTACATTCCCCCCAGCAGCTCAGCAGTAGTAGTGGCCCCCACCATTACATCGCCTAGCAGCAAACCAGTCCATAGTGATGGAGGCGACAGACGGGGACTAAGCTCCACAAACCTACATAAGGCGCAGCAAAGTGACCCAGTCATCCAGCGAGTGATGGGTCTCAAAGCAGCCAGTCCAAAGAGTATGAGTAGCAGGGAGATGTCCCGTCAACCAAGGATGGTGCAGCAACTGCTCAGCGTGTGGAACAACCTCGAAGTGAGAGGCGGCCTACTTGTGTTCAGGAGAGGTGGCACCAATGCAAGTATCTGGTGGTCCTGCCATGTAGCCTGAGGGAGGGCCTTTTCAGCAGCTTGCATGGTAGCATGGAAACGCTCCAACATGGACAAGTGCTCAAGCAGGTAAGGCAGCAATATTACTGGCCGAATCTTCATGACGATACCATGAGTTACATGAGATGACATTGCAACAAGGCAGCACAGTGACAGGAAATGAGAACAATGCTGACAAGAACCCCTGCAGCTGACAACCACAAGGGCCTGGGAGTCGTTGCACCTCCAACCGAGTCCCAAGATGTGCCTTCTCCAGCCTCTCCTCCACCCCAGTTCGCAAATGTATCTCCAGAGGATCACCACCAGCAATGAAAACAGACTTCAGACTCCCATTCGTTGATGAAGACTGTCTCTATACATGTAGCTCCAACGAATCCGTGGAAATCTTCACCAGATCTAGGCGTGTAATCCAATCATCAGTCCGATTCAAATTATTTTGTGTATAGAAGTATTTTTGCTGACTTTGAATGATTAAGCCAAAAGATTAATGCCAAAAGTGAAGTACAATGTCTATGGGATTTTGTGGCGACAAAAAGATGGGGGGAAAAAAAAAAAAAGAACTAAAAGAAAGGCTTTTTTGCAACTATGCAGAAAAGCCAAAAACAAACAAAAACCAGCACCGACTCATGACACAAATGAGATACTGTGCTCTTACTGTAATCTTTTTCTGGGGAGAACTTAAGGCAAATCAAATTAATTGAGAATATAATCCAATACAGTGAGGAATAAAACCACCATCTTAATTTAATGAGAAACAATTATGTTGAAACCCTTACACAAATCCCTCAAACATCTCCTGTTTGTTCCTGAAACAAGTATAAAATAGGAACACATTTTGTTGCTCATATGTATTAAAATTTTTCATATGTATTAAAATACTTATCTTTGCCAATAGTCTCCCCCAAATCAAGGGTGATTTGGGAGTCCGCGAAGGGAAGATACTTACCTGTTTAAACCTACAATTGCATATTTCCCTAGCCGTAGGCTTTCACGCTAGATTCTTGTTACCACACCGCAATAGCGCCCTCCATCCTCCATGCTCCCTAACTCGGTCCATTAAGCCAACTCGCCCTCTTTTTCTCGAGGTGTGGGTAAAAAGACACAGTAAAAGTCCCTTTGCGCTCTTCCAAATTTCTTTTATAAGCTAAACTCATCGATAAATATAAATCCCAGGGAGAAGTGGTAGAAACATCTCATCACTCCCGGAAGGCTGTCATAGAAGGCTGGGGTACACTCAGAGAACTACGGCCAACTCTGCCTCCAGATGACTCGACATCTTTGAGGTAGCATGACATAAAAGTAGTTGGAGTTTTCCAGGCTCCAGCCTGTAAAATATCTTTGAGAGGAACACCCTTAAGGAAGGCCCACGACATGGCCATGGATCTCGTCTCGTGAGCATTCACCGCCTGAGCATCTGCTGTCAGGCATGGCCAGGAACTAAAGGATGAGCGTATCGCCCTTACAATCCATCGAGAAATGGTATCTGGCGAGACAGCCTTATACAGACTGGTAGTAGTAATGAACATTACCTCTGAGAGACTTGGTACGAGCAATGTACCACTTTAAAGCTCGTACCGGACACCATAGTCTGTCCTCGGCTACTGAGGACAAGGACTTAATTTCAGGAATAAAAATATCAGGGGGGGTATAAGACGGGGTTTGATTTTTGGCCAGAAAGGACATGTTGGGAACCAGATGAACACCACCTGGTTCCCGGCGGGGGAACATCTACCGAAGCGCTAATATTAGCTGGGCGTTGAACCAAAGCCGAAACTGTGGCTGTCAGTTGTTTCAGCATGGCCCGTGTAGAAGTGCCGGAACGGCGGCGGCGACGATCGCCACCCGAACGGCTAGATGAAGAAGAATAATATTCATCCAAGGACCCCCAGCTAGAGCTAGAATAACGACGCCTTTTCTTATGATGACGGTCGGAATGGGAAGATTTTTCCTGACCCGTAACACCGGAATTAGCACTTACGTTGGGGGAAGAGGCAGGAACATTCAAAGTACTGACCCCAGATTTTTTTCTTAGATTTAGTGCCGGAAGCGACGGGGACCCGAGTCCCGGAGGCTAGAGGCTCGGAAAGCTTAGCTCCGGTACTTTTTCTTGGTTTTGAAATAACCTTTTTATTAACCTTCTTTCCATCAGCAGGATTCAAGACTGGAACCGAAAGATCAGTCTTGCCCAAAGGACCCGTGCTGCTGGGGACCAGAGGCCCGGAAAGCGTGTCCCCAGCAAGGGTAATGGGGAGGTGTAGAGGCTGGAGGCCCGAAAGGCACAGCTCTTACACTTGAGTCAGAAACATTACCAGGGGCCAGAGGCCTGGAAAGCGTGTCCCCGGTAGAAAATAATTCTCCCCCTGTGGTATCTACAGAGGGGGAGTGAGACCGGAGTCGAACTGCCGACACGCTTCGTTCAGAGTAGCGCGACTCCGCCTTCTTGAATCAAAATCAAACAAAGGACTCGGAACGTTGCTTACCGCACGAGTGAAAATACAACAAAATAAAACGGGAATGGTGTGTAAACTCAAAGAAAAAAGGACACAAGACACACTGGTAAAACCTGTCTTGAATCCAAAACAATCTGATAATAGCAATAAAGAATCAATGAAAGCTCATACAAACGTTGGAAGACCGTGACACAAACCACGTCCGGATACTCCAAACGCTAGAGAAAAAGAGGACGAGTTGGCTTAATGGACCGAGTTAGGGAGCATGGACGATGGAGGGCGCTATTGCGGTGTGGTAAAAAGAATCTAGCGTGAAAGCCTACGGCTAGGGAAATATGCAATTGTAAGTTTAACAGGTAAGGGAGTCCCTGACGTGGACTGATATTTCCAATTAAATCTTGTTTTACTCCTTTAACATGCTTGCCTGGTGTTTTTGGCCCAGAAAACATAAATCATTAGGCTATGCTTACCTCTGCAATCTGTGTTGCTTTTACTTCCATTTGCTGTTGTAGCTGCGCTGTTTCCAGTCTCTGTATTTCATCCAACATTTTTTGTTTCTCCTCTTTTACTCTAAGCAACTCCACTTTCAGGTTTTCTTCTTGTTGTTTTGAGTCTGATTTTCTCCCGTCACGGAGAGATCCGTCTATTGTCCATGAACTTTTATGTGTGTGAGGATAAACAGTGGAGGCAAATGAATGATGGGAACTGAGTTAATGCCACTTTCTGATCAAATTTACAATTAAAACTAGAACGGCGAAACCGCCAAGGCAGGAAGGGAGGCTGAAGGTAGGGTTGGGGATGGGCATGATGGAAGAGGATCAGGATTCTTGTTGATGTGCCTAGGTGTAGGGGTCAGTTTTTAAATGTCAACATAAAAAGTCAACAGATTACCTAATAAATACATGTGTATATAGGTTAGCCGTCACTGTACTATGGGGGAGTTTTCCATTGTTAGGTTAATTAGGACCCAGGTGTGGATTTGTGCAGCCCCAACAGTGTCTTCTGCTCCCCATACTTGTATTACCATGGAAAAACTCTTGTGTAGTCACCACAAATGCAGAACAAGAATGGGTATACATGTACATGTAGACACAGCACCATCACCACCTCCCCCAAACCTTACCCATCCCAAAACTTTACCCCATCCCCAACCCGCCCCCTCCCCCACCCAACCCCCTACCCACACCCATTCCATCCTCCCCTAACCATCCCCACCCTATCACCTACACATCCCAACCCCACCCAAACTCCAATCCCTATCTCCTTCTCCCTCCCCTGACCCGTACCCTCCCCAACCCCAACCCCCTACACATACCTAACCTATCTGTCCTTATCCACCCTACACATCCCCACTCTAACCCTTACTCGAATTCCAATATCCCGCCCACCCCATTCCCCCATCCATACATCCCCACCTGACCCCATGCAACCCCTACTCTGATCCCTATATACTGCCCCCTCCCCTTATCCAACCCCTACAACAACCCATCCCTACACATCCCCAACCCAACCCCTACTCTGATCCTATATCCCGCCCCCTCCCCAACCCCCTCCTAACTCAACCCCTACATCCATACCCATCCTCTCCCTACCTGTCTCCCCCTACCTGTCTTTCCCTACCTGTCCCCACCCCACCCCTACAAATCCCCACCCCACCCAAACCCAGTATTCCAACCTCTCTCCCCACCCCACCCCACCCCACCCCGCCCCACCCATCCTAGCTCCCCTACTCATCCCACTAACCCAAACCCTAACTCCAACCCTATCCCCCAACCCACCCCACCCCACCCTCCCCTACTCCAACCCCATACTAAAAGATCAAACCAGAAGCACATGCACATCCCCAAAATGCATAATGTACATGCACATGTTATACCGGTATACACACACGTACATGTTATACCAGTATACATGTACATGTCACAATTAAAAACTTTAACATTACCTTGAATTAAAGTTCCTCAATAAAATCATAAAATATACTGCAATGATATGAACCTAACTGAAGTTATAGAGATGATACATGACATCTGCATTAATTTTCCCCCCAAGTTAACTAGAACCAAAAACTTCAACATTTTTATCTGAACGCGGACGGCCGGACGTTCTAGCCAGACGGACTTGTGGGGTGATAGCATTGTGTTCCCATTATCCCTTTTTCTAAAGATTCCCTTCTGGGGTGATGTTTTCTATTGTGAAAAATAGTGGGGTGATGTGTCCTGAAAGGAACATCACCCCACAAGGGTGGTATGGTCAGAACGGGTGGACGGGCGCCTGGACAGAAGGACGGAAATTGGTATTACATAGGCTCGCATCTGCTTCGCAGCTCGCCAAAAACACTCCTTGAATCTGGTCTGGGTGCAAGGAATAATGCAAAGCCACTCTGTTAGATTTCAAGTAACAATGATATGTGCATATGTACACTACACCGAAAAAGAAATCCCCCCCCCATACTGGTATATAACTCGAAAACTACTGAGCACCTTTTGGACAAATAACGACTAATCAGAACAGAAATTGCTGAGGCATCCAGCCATACTCTTTATTTGGCCCACAGCATTGATAACTTGTACAAAACTATGCAATTTATGACAAATAATGCTGAAAAAAGAAGTTGCACTTTTGTACACAGAAAAATTGTGTGTCAGTCAGGTGGCATACGGTTGGAATCAAGACCGACTGGTCAAAAGCACCAAACTTGGCAGATAAATTTTTATAGCCCTCAAGAAGATATTTAGAAGGGGCGACACTCCAGTCTCGATCTTGTCAAAAATTTGGTCTAAGCCACCTACTGAACAGCCACCTACTGAACATTTTGTTTGTAACGCAATCTTTCAACAAAAAATTCTTCCAAAAACTTTCAAATTTACACTTATTTTCACCCTTTCTTTTACTGCATGCATTGTACTTTTCATGTTTTTCAAGGTTCAGCAAACAAATAAAATGTTCAAATTAAATGTTTAATAACAGGTTGGTCCACCCTGTTGTGCAATTGCTAGAGGTGAGCGGGTGAAGAACTGCATAAGAACTTCATTCAAGAGGTTGAACAATACAAAGGTGGAAGCGTCATGGTGTGGGGAGGAATTAGTACCCAGGGAAAAATGGATCTTTTCATTGTGCCTGGTCGGCTTACAGCTTAATGTTCTGCTATATGCCAACCACTGTTGGTGACAATTTGGTTTTCATGAATGATGACCAAACTCCACACGGTATCCAAGTAACGAACCCATGGGCGTCGCAAGGATTTTTTCTAGAGGGCGGCAAAGCACATTTTTCAAAAAACCCCTGTACTTTTCCAGTGTATTCTCAATTTATCAATTCCAGAGGGGGGCAGGGACATTTACACCCCCCCAACCCATTAATTTAATAGCAACTAGTGCAGAGCCTGTCGAAAATGTGCAGTTCGGAAGGGGCAGTGCTCATACAAACAACGCACACGATATGTGTGTTGTTTTCACAGGTTGAACGCACACTCACAGGTTAAACACAGATTTTGTACATCCCCTGGCACTGATATTTACTCATACTGGACAATGGTATTGCCCTACAGTTAGGGTTGCTCAGTTGACTGCCTCTACAGCAACGGTTGCTCAGTTGACGACAAAATGCATGTGCCCGTGCAGCACACACGTACGTGTAACATACGGCCAGAGACAAAAATTAATCATGCTGATGAACTTGATTAGAGACACTGATTATGATGGAACATGACTGTGCGTGTTCTAGGCTATACTCTGCCATGTTGAGGCTCAGAAAATGCTGCTTTTTTGCAGCTTTTTCGAAACCGCCTGTTCAAACAACTTCCAACTTGGCACTGCACATTCTGTGGTCCCGATCAATATACTCGCCAATTTTCAACTTCATACGGTGCCCGGTTCTGGGGATAATTGACCTACAGACAGACAGACACACAGAGATTCCTGGAATTATAGTAAGGACTAGTGCAGTGCCCGTCTAAAATGTGCATGTTCGGGAAGCGCAAATTGCTTTGCTGCTGGTATTGGTTGCATACTTGCAGAGTTTTTGAGAAACTGCTCGTGCAAAACAACGCACGCGATTCAATAATGTTGTTTTCACAGGTTGAATGCACACTCACGTCAAAGTTTGTGCCAAGTTTGAAGTTGTTTGGGCGACTGGTTCTCGAAAAAGCCGTAAAAAATAGCGCAGATATTAACCCCTACTGGACAATGGTTGCTCAGTCGACCGCCTACAATGGTCGCTCAGTCGACTGCAAAATGCATGGGCCCGTGTAGCCACTCACATACGTGTACATACGGAAACATGGCATGCAGTGTTATTCACCCATACTGGACAATGGTATCGCCCTACAATACACGCACGCACGCCCGCGTCCTTTTTGCATCTGTTTGCGTCATATTGAGCACGCGCGATTTAGCTTAAACATGATGTGAACAATTGAAAAGAACATGGAACAGTGCGTGGCGGTCTAGGCTATATACTGGCACGTTTGCCTCGGAAAAAAATAACTTTTTTGCAGCTTTTTCGAGTACCGCTCATCCAAACAACTTCAAACTTGGCACTGCACATTCTGTGATCCCGAGCAATGCACCCGCCGATTTTCAACTTCATATGGTGTCCGGTTCTGGAGATAATCGACGTACAGACAGACAGACACACACACACACACACAGATTCCTGGAAATTATAGTAAAGACTAGTGCAGGGCCCGTTGAAAATGTGCCAGTTCAGAAGGGGCAGAGAACTGCTCATACAAACAACGCACACGATTCAATTGTGTAGTTTTCACAGGTTGGCTGCACATTTACAGGTTAAACGCACACTTTGTACATGTCTTCATCCCCTGACACAGATATTCACCCCCACTGAACAATGGTATCGCCCTACAGTAAGGGTGACTTAGTCGACCGCCTACACAGTGATGGTTGCTCAGTCGATTGCAAAATGCATGTGCCCGTAGCCACTCACGAACGTGTACATACAGAAACATTGTATGCAGTGCTATTCACCCATACTGGACAATGGTATCGCCCTTCAAAGCATGTGCCCCATGATGTGCCCGTCCATTTTCCATTGTTGCGTCATATTAAGCACGCACGCTTTTGCTCAAACATGAGGTAAACAATTGAAAAGGACGGCAGTGCGTGGTGGTCTAGGCTAGTATACTGCAACGTTATTGCCTCCGAAAATGCTGCTTTTTTGCAGGTTTTTTGAAAACCGCTCGTCCAAACAACTCTTAACTTGACACTGCACATTCTGGTGTCCCGAGCAGTACGCCTGCCAAAATTCAACTTCATACCGTGCCCGGTTCTGGAGATAATCAACGTACAGACAGACAGACACACAGAGATTCCTGGAATTAAAGTAGAGATATGTCTCCGTGCCTCCCCCCCCCCCCCTGCGATGCCCATGAACAAACCAATTCCTTGAGAATGAAGAAATAGAGTACATAGACTGGCCAGTGAAGTATCTAAATTGAAACCCGACAACTCTGTTGGAACAATGTGGATCATCAACGTATACGGAACTTGACAAACAGTGTGCGCAGACAGTGCCCAGAAGTAATGACCGACCCATCATTAAATATTTAATTTGAACATTACATTTGTTCACAGAACCTTGCAGAACATGAGAAGTCTGCATTAAAGGAAAGGGTGAAAAAAACAACCAACAAAATTTGAATTGATATTGAAGAATTTTTCTTTAAGAAT